AGACATGTAAGTCTCTATGTTACTTGCTCAGCCTCCCAAAATTTTGTGGGTTCGACTGGTTCGAATCCAAATGGGCTGCTGCTGGGCCATGCACTTTCTGGCGCTTTTCGCCTTGTCTACCAGCGGCTAGCTCGTCCTCCTCCTTCTGAATGACCATGCCCTTCTTGGTCAACGATTCGTAGAGAGGTGCCATGTGCGCAGCATTGGGCATCTTAGTCAAAGAGTCTGCTGGATTCAAATTGTGAGGAAGCCAGCGTAGCCTTGCACGGAGTTTTGCAAGACTCTCTTGTATGACTGCTGACTCTAATGCCGCTCGGTCATCTTCTCCCTGAAATTGACGCTCGGAGGTAGACGTGCTATCGTAGACACTCTTGGCATCTATGATGGCTACCGCATCAGGTCATCAGGATCTTGATGTCGAGGGTCTTCGGCAGATATCACCACAGGCGGTCCGCGAAGTCCCATAGATATTTCCACATCATCCACCAATGACCTTGGGTCGAATCTGGAAAACCGAAAACTCTTGAGAGTTGCGGCTTGCTTTTCCAAACTTCCAAGTGCAGTCGACAATGATATCGACTCGCATAGAGTGGTATTCGCAGCCTTTCTCCTGAGTTTCTTGCTTCGCCAGGAGATCAGACTGACAGGAGCGAATTGACCCTTGTTCAGCTGGGGAGTGGTCAATCCTTGCAGCCAGCCATGTTGTGGCTTTTGCTTTCCGGTTGGATCAAAAGAGCTGTCCGCCACCAAAAGATGTCGTAGGTCAGCTTCAGGAATCGCATGGATCTTGATGACAATCTCCTGCTCCTTCAACTTGTCCACGACCATGTTACAGTCGATGACATTCTGCATGGTGGGGTCCGGAAAAGAACCTGAAAGGATTGATGCCGCTGCAGCACCATCTGGTCGACCTTCTCGAGCGCACCAGTTAATGGCTGCAATAACTCCTCGTAGTTGGGTCTCCTCGTCCTCGTTCAGGATGATCTTCGTTGCATCCTTCTTGAGAAACTTCCTCTTGATGTTCACCTTCTGCAAGCGGTTCTTCACGTAGTCCGTCATGGAATACTCAAAGCTGAAGTCAGGCAGTTGTTTAATACGTCTGCCGGCATAGCCACTTCCGCCATCTTGGAGGTTGACTACCTTTCCAAACCTCAACTTCTTTTCCAAAAGATCCATCTTCTGTCGGTGGACCTCATCGCCAGCTTCCAACATGTCGTCAACTTCCAACACTAGGATGCCGCGAGTAGGAACATTGGGGTCCTTGACCTTGTCCGTCTCGGCACCGTCCAGGGTGAGCACGCAGCGGTCGTAGACGCACACTCTGTAGCCAAGCTCCTTGACCAACACTTCCAAGAGGGAGCGTCTCCACCAGCTCGGACCTGAGACCAAGCCGTAGACCTCGGTCAGCAAGAGGATCAGTTGCTCTGGTGAATATCCTTCAAACTGCTCATCTGAAGGCATTCTGCAAGCCAGTTTCTGGGATCGTGTCGTTGGTCTGGATTGCAAGAAGGCTGTCTTCGCGTCTTTGGATCGAGCCACCCATCTCCTTGAAGCTGCAAGTTGAAGAGCCAGGTACATAGAGCTCGTCAAGGGTGTAGGAGCCGTCCGTTCTATCTGATGGATATGAGGATCCTTCCATCCCACAACACACCAACGGGATTTCGGCGCCAAGCCTCCATGCTCTTCAGGAAGAAATCCTGGTTCTCCAAAAGCTTCTGGAACAACTCCGAAAGCATCTGTTGGCTTCCAACGATCCACATAGCGCGAAGTCAGAACATGGTTGGGATGTTCCTTCATGAATTTTCTTGACTCCTCCACGGAAAGGATCTTGATGGCACCGGAGTCAAGCAATGACTTCACTTCTTTGGCTCTCGCAAGCCGAAAGATCTTCTTGTACTTTTCAGAGAGGTGTTTGAACTCTACCTGTCCAGGAGATGTTTTCGCCTTGGAGAGGTAGATGCACGTGTCCTGGTTGTTGAAGTAGCCGACGGCCTGGTTGATGTTGAACTTTATGCCGTCGGGCGAATCCATGGTGTAGTGACCATTCACTCGGTCTCGAATCCACCGTGGTTGTTCTTCAGCAGGTTCGTTGGCAACTTCTAGGTAGAGGCTTCTTGGGTTGCTCGGCCAGGAAGGTAGTCCTTGTGGTGGACTTGGATACGGCATTGCCGGCCTTGATGTAGTGTCTCGAATGGGGCCAAATGCCATAGATCCATTCCTGCCCTCGTCAACTCGAATGCTACCTCTTCTGCTTGGAGTTTGTGACGATGGTATGGAGGATGGTTCAGATCGGACTCCTTCGGTCATAGGTGGTGCCAAAGTGCTCGCTTCAGAAGGTGCTTCTGGTTGTTGTGTTGATCCATCCAACTCCATATCTGCAGGTAGATCTTCTTCTTCTGGTATGACTTCCATAGGACCATAGGAGTTGCAACAGGTGAAGATGGTGAGTATGGCTCCAATGCGGGCCCTGCCATTTCTGGTGGGTCTCCCTCGCCCTCTGCCATCTCCGGTTGCATCTCCGGAAGTCCTTCTCCTTCAACATCTCGAAAGAATTTGACCTGGTTGTTCTCGATGTCCTCCAAGAGCTGTGTGGACAGATGTTTGACCAGCTCAGCACCCAAACTCTCTTCAGCAGTTGCATGTCGAAGTTGGCCACGGTTGGCCTTCACCAAATAGCCACGCATGCTGATCCAGAAGGAATCGCCTTTCTGAGCTATGATGGTGCCAGGGCCAGTCCATCCTTTATGACCAGGAACGCTTCTCCAAATGAACACCTGCTCGTTGTCAGCGAACTCCTTCTTGTCCATGGTCCGTGTCTTCGTTGACAGAGCACGCTTCACTGCTTCATCGTCCTGCCATTTCAACCAAGCTTTTCCAGCAGCTTCTCGAATCTGCCAGGCTCGTTGCATTGAATCGCCTGCGCTCTCCAGAATCATCTCCTTGTCGATTTGGTGGTCCGACAACAGGGAAGCCGGCAATCTCGGCAACGTTCCAAAAGCTCGTTGAAAAGGAGTAAATCCAGCTCTGTTATAGTACCTGTTGTGAGCCATAGCAGTTTCATAGATGGCAGTGCGCACCTCCTCAATGGTTGTGGCGCTGATTTCATGCAGCACCGTTTCCAGTCTGGTCTTGAAAATGCCGCCTGCCTTCTCTGTTCTGCCGTTTTGCCATGGTGACCTGGCATCAATGAAATGTTGAGGAACTCCCAGCTGGTTGATCTTCTCGGCGAAGTACCCAAGGAATTCCCGTCCTTGGTCTGACACTAACAAGCCAGGAGGTCCATAATGCATCAACCACACCTTGGCAAAGGCCTCATAAACTGTCTCGCTGTGCTTGGACTCCAGGAGTTCTACTACTTGAAGGTTAGAGCCCCAGCACAAACAGTTCAACAGCAGGAGATCTCCTAGGTCAGGAACCTTCACCTGAAAGATGTCAATGCCGACCACACTATTGAACTCCATTGCAGTCTGCAGCTTGCTCGGCCTGTGCGACGATGGCAACTGCTTTCTGTCGCAAAGGTCACATCGAAAGTGATGTTTGACAAACTCAATGACTTCTTTCTTGGCTCCTGCATGACGTAGAGCACGTGTCATGACTTGACGGGATGGGTGTCCCAGGTTCCTGTGCACTCGGAACAATTCTCTTCGCATCTCCGGATGTAGGATCGCATCCGTTGGCAAAGGCTTCACTTTGAGATCTCGCAGTGCATGTTTGGCTCTTCCTTCTGCTGTCTCTTCTTCCGTGTCGGGGTCTTCAATCTCTCCTTCCACCACCATCTCATCACCCTCGGCTTGTTGAGGTAGTTCAGGATGTTGTGCAACTTCAGCAAGTTGTTGATCTTGCAGACCACGGCGCGAAGACATAGAAGACGTTGTAGGTTCGTCCACCGCCGCCGCACTTGCCGCACTTGAAGAAACAGGCCCGCCTCCCAAAATTTTGTGGGTTGGAAATGCAGCATTCCAATCCACTTGCAAGGCGGTTTCAGAGGTGAGATACTCATAGATAGGATGAGCTGCCGCTTGAACCACATAGTTTGCAGCAGCCCGCCAGTTTGGAGGAAGCACAATGGGCTCGTGCTTCTGGAATGTAGTTGTTCCCTTCCAGAGTTTTGTGAAGGCGTACTTGGGTGCTTCAGCACTACGCCAATTGTCTGAGAAGACTTGAGTGGAACCTTGTAGGAAGGTCATCTTGGTGGTCCGTTGGGAGGTCAACTTGCTCGTAGGGCTTGGACATCCCGAAACACCAGTTGGAGTGAAGAGAGCTCTTCGAGGAACTCGATGATGTCGAACCACGCTATCTTCTAGATCTTCCCAAAAGTCTTCTTCAGTCTGATTGAACTTGACCCAAGCTTGAACATGTTGACGTAGTCCTCGAAGGATGGCATCCACAAACATCGGTGTATACTTGGCCGCCAGCTTCGCTTCTCCTGCAAGGAGTGGACCATGCTTCAAATGGAAACCTTCACATCGCCGTCCTAAAACGTTGACCAGGGCCTCAAGGTTCGTGAGCAGCATCGTGGGCTTAAGGGCTGGAAGTCCTTGAGAAGTTCTCAAACCAAACCGGCACATGTCGAGGTTGATGGTGTGCACGCCAGGCTCATCACGTAGTTGGCTGAGCGAGGGCAAAGACCATGAAGTTGCACCCTTCGGGTGTTCGAACAGGAAACCTCGACCGGCTCGATGCTGAATCCTTGCAATGAGGACACTGAATCTGACATGTTCTATGGCTTCAGCTTCTTCTTGACGTACAATGTCAGGATTCCTTTTGAAATTCGACAAAGATCGCAGCCTTGAGAATGCCGTGCACGGCGGAGATAGGATCACCAGCACGGGCTGCTTCTCGCGTATCAACCGTAGAGCAGCTTCCTGATGGGATTTCTTCGAAAAGTTCCATCCATTGGTGAGGTCCAAAGCACCTCCACTGGTGAATCCATATTTTGCCGCCTTCTTTGTCACTCTCTCTGGCGAATATATTTCCATCACTTTGAGGGCATCCTTGACCATCTTCTTGTCCTGCTTGGTCAAGACTTGGGTTTTGCCGAACGATTCGGCTGCTGAATTGGCAAAATGCCTTGTGAAACTCTGGCCGTAGACGTAGCATGTCATGCCGGCCGCGGTCTGTCCCGTGAGATGTGAATCATCATTGAACGAATTCTCAGTCACATTGTGCCATGCAACAAGGTCTGGTGAACCAAAAGCCATAGTGGTGGCTGGTGACAGGCAGCAGTTCATGCAAAGGAAAACCATGAACTTGGAGAAACGGGAACTGAGGAACTTCCCGAGCATGCTGCCATGTTTGCCACCCAACTGGCTCTTGCCGACTAATCGCTGTCGACCTTCTGAGGGGACTTGCTGTCCATGTCCACCCTCTGCCAAGGCTTCTCCTCGTCGCTGTCGACAAATTCCTGGGGCTCTTGCTCGGTCAGGTCGTATTGAGGAACTTGGCCTTGGGACCTCTTTGGTGGTCGCATTGCGCGTAGACCCCCCATCTTTCGATCCTTGGACTGGGAGCGCTCTCGTGGGGCTGAGGCAGACTTCGCTGTCATCTTGGCCTTTGGGATCTGCTCTGATCCAGTCGCTCCAGGGGTCCTCATGATCTTGCCTTGGTGGTCCACTTGGAGTTGAATGTTGCCCTGCTTTGGTTGGGAACGAGGAGCTGGTAGATACTCCGGGTAAGATCCCACATTGGTCTGAAGCTTCTTGGCATTGGGAAGCTCCGGAACAATTGTCGTCGAAGAGGACGCGGCGGGATCTGCTTCCAGGCGTTCCCATCGACTTCCGCATTGAAGGCAACACCACCAACGTTGATGTCGATTGGCTCGGCACCTCATGTACTCTCCTGGGTGTGTACATGTCTCCGGGCTGACGTTCCAGTAATCCTGGGCTTGGGATCTGGACATGGGTGCTCCGATTCCCTGAGGAATCCATTCCTTCTTGACCACCTTGTTCTTGCCCTTCTGCTTCGTCGGCTGCTTCTCCTTCTCCTGCATGTAGAGCTCGTCGTCGATCTCGTTGCCCTTCTTCTGGAGATAGTCCAACACCATCTGGTTCATGGTCGTGTAGATCAAACGAAACATGGCTGTCACCACGCGAGACCAGGCTGCCTCGCACTTGGCTGTTCCCATCTTGCGACGTGTGGGCTTCTCCTCCTCGTCGTGCATCATCTTGTAGATGGAGGACTGCAGGGAGCTCACCTTGATCTCCTTCTTGGGCGCCATGGCTTCGAAGCAGACGTTGAGCGAAAGCTTGAGCGGCTCTGGTCAGAGACCAGTTCATCAAAGAGCTGAAAGGGCTCGAACGGTTGGCATCCGATCTTCTTCTCACGCAAGACCGCAGAGACTGCAAACTTGACATCTTGTTCTCACTGGACATGTTTGGACTCAGATGCCAATTTCCATCATGATCTGTGCAATCCATCATGTTAAACTCCACAACTTTCTCATCATACCATTCCCCATCATGATCTGTATGATCCATTGGAAACACTGGAACACTCGCACTTCTTTTTTCTCTTCGAGTGGGTCGCGGCTGTGACGTTGCAAGGTGCCGTGACCGTGACGGTTGTGGCGCAGTCGTAGATGAAGACGACATAGTTCCATGTGCTTGTCCGGGAGGTCCAGGAGGTAGTTCATCGTCCTGGTCTTGGTCGTCATCGTCTTGAGGACTTGGGCCACGTGAATCACCCTCATCATCTCGTCGAGGAGGCAATGGAGTCTCGTAGAAGGTGACGTTGCCAAACCATGGTGTCTCCATAGTGCGATGAGATCTCTCCACCCAGTTGTCATCCACAGTTGCCTGTCGCCCATAGGCGTCGACCATCGTCACTTTTCTGCGACCCGTCAAAGATACCGTAGGGATACTTTGAAGGTGGTTGGGCACAGGAAGTCTTCGTCTCCAACCTTCTTGAATTTCCAGAGGTCGCACTTGGCCATAACAGTCTTGCAACTGGAACAACACTGATCGTCCCTCAGGCAAGGGCGTCGTCTCGTTCATCTCATTGACGAAGCTGTTCACTGGGGAATCTTCTTCTTGATGCTCAAACCACAAGAATCTCGCCGGTCTTGGTTGGGCTCTTTCTGGAGACCATGACACTCCCGATTCAAAAGTGTCTTCACTGTCACCAGGTGACGCCACCGGCAGAGTTGGAGTCTCGAGCATCTCAACTCGTCGTGGTAGTTCAGAATGTACAGGTTGTCCAGGATGTACAGGTTGTTCAGGATGTAGCACAGGATCTTCCTCATATTGTCCAGAAGATTCTTCTTGTTCCCGCTCAACCAACTCATTCAAACTTCTGGCGGAAGGTCTCTCGGTGTCTGTGTCGATGTAGGCGACGGTAGCTGCTTTCGATTCTCGAGATCTGGACCTTGACTTGGGCGGTTCGTCTCCAGGTAGTACATGGGCTTCGATGTAGTTCTTGAAGAAGACATCATCCATTGGTTCTCCTGCATCTGGATCTCGAGCCACCGTAGGAGGAAAACCGCTTGTAGACGAAGAAGACGAAGTTGTCAAAGTCCCGGATGTAGCAATGCCAGCAACGCCAGAAGACACACCACCTCCCCCAAAAAAGGAATGGGATGAGCGGGGCTGCAGCACAAAGGGGTCGTGGTTGTTCACTTGAAACTTTGGTGGCAGTTTCCACGGTGTTTGTTCAAAATCAAACATGTGGATGGCTCTGTGGCCGGATGGTAACCTCCTCATAGGGGCAGAGTGTCCATCCGCAGTCGCATAGGTGTCGTTCTGCATGTCCAACTGAGCTCCAACTGTCTCCAAATAGGAGACTGGGATCAAGGGAGGTGTGACGAAACCCTCAGGTCCTTCACCGTCTTGGATCACTGTGAACCTTAGGATTCCAAGCACACCGGCGATGGAGGTCGGGACGTCATAGGCACCACAAAGACGAGCTTGTCCTCCAATGCCAGCACATTGAGCTGAAGGTCGTCGAACTGGAACTGGTCGCAATCCCGCAGCGCGAAGTTCTTCGATCATTCCATTGAAGCTCTGACTGCCTACCACAGCTTCTTCGGCAGCCGTATCGATGACACCTTCGTGGGTACGAACCCGAACTCCAGCATAGATGGCTCGCAGCAACGTTGCTTTCTTCGGTGGAAACACCTCCGGCTTGTTCTGGATCATGTAGGTGCTTGTTGAAGATCCAGACGTTCCCACAGTGACAAAGTTGCCTTTCTTTGGTTTGGAGCCATTCTTGTGAGGGCAGTTGCGGCTGATGTGACCAAGTTCTTGGCAGGCAAAGCATCGTGTCCTCGCCATCAGTTCAGCCTCTGTGCCCTTGATGTGTTCATCTTTGGCTCGACCACCATCTTTTCGAAAACCACGCCCTCTTCCTTTGGGCTTCTTGTTGGCTCCCTTCTTTCCGGTCTGTTTGCCATGTCGAACGAAACCTCGTTCCTTTCTCCTTGACTTGAGGTCCTTTCTCACGTCGTTATAGGCCTGCACGTAGATGGCTTCCGTCTCGTCGAACTCCTTGTCCTCAAAGTACAGCAGGTTGTCAGACTCCTCGGACTCAGTCACATAGTCTTCTTCTTCGCCTTCTTCTTCATAGTCACCAGCAGTTTCATCGCCAGCTTGAAGAAAGGCTCTCTGAGTATTGGAGGCCACTGCACCAGGCAAACCAGCTGATTTGGCCAGCGTCTCCAGTCTATCGAGGGGCCTCAAAGCATTGACCACCTGCTCATAGCTGAGAAGGGTGTTCGACTTCAACGCCATCATCTGCATCTGGTTGTCTGAAAGCGCAGCCTGTCTCAGAAGGATGCGACCTGCAATCAAAGGATTCATCACGGATCCCAGTTGCGCCTCCATCTCCTGCTTGGCAACTTCCTTCCTTGACAGAAAGGATGCAAAGCTCTCGCCACGGGCTCTGTCACCAGTGTAGATGAAGTTGTCCACGCTCTGAGGTCCAATCGCTTCCAAGTATGGCTTGTAGCGTGCCATCAATGTCGTGAGAATGGCCGAGTAGCCACCTTCACCAGTCAAGACTTCAGGAGGCACGACATCTGCAATGCGCCGTGCTTCTTCACCCAAAGCTGAGTAAAGCTTGATTCCCCACCTGGCTCTTGGAATTGTTGTCTCCTGCTCCCACATCCCAAGTTGCTTCAACCAACTTCTCAAACCTGAAGGAGCACCAGACCAGGGAGGTACTACAGCTCTTTTGTCTCCGCTCAGCGCTTCCACCAACTTCTTCAGCCACTCCTCCGGATAGGCCGCACTTGCCGTAGTCGGAGAGGTCGGCATAGCTTTTCCAAGGGCTTCGAACGCTGAACCAACTGCTTGGGGCTTTGGATCTTCTGCTCCATGTCGAAGTCCGTTGACAAACTCCTGAGCTGAAGCCACCGGCGCAACTTGTTGACCAGTTGTCAAAGGGGCCGTCGTACTTGATGTTGGAGCCGTTTGCACATAGCGACTCCAAGGGTCTTCTGCTTGTAGTGGATCAGCACCTGCACTGATTGCTGATCTTCCCGAAGCATCTGCTTGTCGTACTTGTCCAGGAGGAACTTGTTGAGATACTCCAGGAGGACCGTGAAGAGGTACTTCATGTCGAGGTAGGGCTCCAAGATCACCTGGTTGAAGAGGAACTTCATGTCGAGGTAGGGCTCCAAGATCACCTGGTTGAAGAGGAACTTGGTGACGTGGTAAGGTCCAAGGGCTCTGAAAGCCACCCATGCCAATGCCGCTTTGTTGTCCAAAAGGTGCCAAAGGGTTCATTGCATACCCGTACGATTGCGGCCCATAGCTCATTGGAGCAAGCGGCACATTCCCACATCCATAGTTCATTCCAGTCATCTGTTGTCCATACCTCGGGTTGTACCCCGTTGTAGTCACAGGCACTGAGAAACCAGCAGGACCATATGTCATTGGGCTCATAAGGGTCATGGACGGTCTTGATGCATCTCCAGTCGGGGAGCCAGCCCCCACACCATTGCAACCTGCGTTGACTCCAGCTTCATCACCTTGGGGATGGCTTCCAAAGGCCGCCGCATAGTTGCTTGAAACAGCTGGTTGAGGTACTGCATCTCCCACGCCCGGAGGTTCTGCATCTCCCACCGGCTCATCTCCATCAGGAGCTCCGCCAGGTCGATGTCGGCGTCGTCTGCCAGCGTGGTGTTGTCGTCCATGATGCGTAGCACCCGACATGGCGTCGGGTCAAAGCTGCCAGTCGAAAACTGGCTCCGCTACCACTAAACAAGTGGGCAAAGCTAGAAGCGACCAAACGCTCCTTTTCACACCTGAGCCACGACTCAAGGCCTGCGGCAGCACGGGTTAGACATGTAAGTCTCTATGTTACTTGCTCACATCTGTTACCAATTTTTAGGAGGAGGAGATTGCATTAAGAAATGCACAGATATCCCCAGATATCCCTAGTAGTATTCGGAAGCTGTACCCGTTCCCTCCCGTTCCTAGATCCACGCGATGCCGCACTGATTTCGGCAGCTTCAACTCCCCGGCACCACATGATTCCTGCTGTCAGCGGTTGGTGACCAGGGTGAGCATGGACATTATGGAACATCGTGGGTACAAGATGGTACAAGTACGTGTCCTCAAAGGGGGTTCGATTGCATCCCCTGATAACTTATCATAACCCTTCCATAAAGAACCCCTAAATTTTTCACAAACGGACTGCGAAACCACAGTTTCTGTGGGCTCGGGGAGTTCTTCACCATCGTAGAGTTCCCAGCAGCCCTTCCGTGCTTACGCCACAATAACCATCTCGTTTGTTCATACCTGTATGTTTTCGTGTATGTGCGCCATCTATTCCATCCTGTCCAATCACATCCGATCCAATCCAATTCAATCTCATCAAATATGTCTATCTACACTACCACTCCATGCCTATGTATATATATTATATATATATGATATTATATATGTATATATGAGAGAGGGGGGGAAAAAACTGTATATGGTAATTATATAGTTATAGTATAGTTATTTAATATTTCAATATTATTTACGTATATGTCGTAGTATGTGCGTGTGAGAGAGAGAGAGAGATGTTCCTATATGTTCCTATATCATCCTACATTACCAGCCGAGAATCCCCATCCTTTACCCCAGAAATCCGGCAGAGCTTCAATTGTCAGCTGATGGTCCAGCAGCGATATGACCTCCAGCCCAAAGCGGGACAGGTCCACGTTGGCGTACAGCACCTGGGTCCAGCTGCTCATGGCTTCAGAAATCCTGGTACATGAACCCATGAGTTCACTTGGTGGGTGTCCCAAAAAAAACCTGGAAAAATCATGTGTTTGTCAAGTTCACTAAGGACTCCCATACTTTAGGGTTACCATTTTTTCAGAAAGATCCACCATGAAACGCCTCCTCCATGGCTTGCATGCACGGAGGAACACCGGTCTGCAGCTGCTCCCGCAAGTGCTTCAAGCGCATCACCACTACACCCAAGGCACTCCTGCCATCCAAGGAGTTAGTTCCATCAAACACCCAGGAAAAAGTGCATCACCGGTGTGTGTGTGTGTGTATTTATATTATATATATATATACATATATATCTGTATCATCCATATATCACTGGGGTGTGTGCCCACTCAGGAACTGGGATGCACATCCAAGCAAAGCCAAAAATCCCAGCATCCCCTTCCATCCCATGTTAAGGAGCCAACTCCAGCGCCCTGCGGAGAGCCCAGTGCCTGGCTGTTTGAACTGGGGAGTCCATGCCCAACAAAAGGCTGCGCGGAAAGCTCCCGAAGCTTTGCTCACAGACCTGGCGCCGAAGAGCTGATCTTGTGGTCTTTAGGATGGTTACTTTTTGGATAGGGGAAGGCTGAAATTAAACCTCTTCAAACGCAGAAAACAAAGACTTGTTGCAACGCCAAAGTCCAAGATGTTCAAGGCACCTGGCAAACCACAAAATGCAACTCCCAACAAAATCCAACAAATGGAACTGGTTGGCCCTGCTCTACTTATGCAGCACCCAAGAAAAATTAGCAACCAAGTGGCTATGTCCTGTAGGGATACTGTACAATGCTGTTGCCAGCAGCGGATCCGAATCCACTGGTCCCCTGCCTCATGAAACTCGCGCTTCATCCTGCCCTTGCAAGGCAGAAATCAGTCAAAGGCCAGAAGTGGCTCAAAGTCACTTCGGGAGCGGCTTTTCAGATCTCAACCATCCACATCACTCACTGAGCCCAGCAGTCCTGAGCAACTGAGATGATTCTGATGGCCTTGGCAACGGCTTGGAAAACCTTGTCGTAGTCACAGGCACCGCCTCCAAGAGAATTGGAGCAAGTGGAATTGTAGCAGGCCTTGCGGGTGCGGCCGCCAAAGACAGGTCATCAGAAATGGCCGTGCCCAGCCTTGCCAGACTCCGTGTTGAGCAGGGCATTGGCCTGTGCAAAGGTTGGTTCAATATGTAAAGCCCCATGACTTGTAGCAAGAGAAGCTCTTAAGGAAGAGACAGAGGCACCAGAGACAGAGGCACCTTGTGAAGAGGATCGCCCACCAAGTCCTCCACGGCCTGGAGGTAGCGCCTGTAGCCAAGCAAGCAGGATCATCAGGATCCACCCTGTGACCAGATGAATCAGCAAACTTTGGGGCATTGGAGTCTGACCTTCCAACATTGCATCACCTGGATGCGTGCTGGTCAGTGCTGAAATATCCCAGGAGACTCGGAACCGGCCTCGGTTACTACCTGATTTCTTCGGAATATTCACCAGTTGCAAACAGGAACGATCCCCACCTGTTGTGCTCCGCATTGGCCATGCCCAAACGCCATCCCAGTGGTCCATCCAAGGGCCGCAGTACGGGGCGCTCCTCGACCCGCCAAGGCCCTGGGCCGTGAGCGCCCAGGGCACCGGTCAGCGCCACCCAGCACCACACCATGGGGCTCCGTTGCCATGGCGTGACGGGGAGGGCACCAGATGGCAAGGCGCCAGGTGGCAAATGGGTTGGCTAATGCTGAAGGTGATGGAAAATTTGGAGGCTTCAAAACTTTATCGGTAATTGCCTTAGTTTTTGGTCTCAAATATTTGGTGTTGCATTTGTAGACAAAAATGCCTTGCATCTGCGGCTCGTACCGTTGAATTCAACTTCTTGCGGTCACAAGCCCAGGCTTGGCAGCATCTAAAGGGCAGTTGAGCTGCTGAAACTGATGAGTTTTGGTAGGGCAGATTGGAGCCTTCACCGCCGCAACCGTCCAGGAAAAAGTGGTGCTGCGACTGCGTCAGAGGTAAAAACAAATGTGCCATGATGTGCCACCCTCGTGCTGCCACACCAAATGGCCAGCGACCACTTGGTGTTCTGGGGCGCGCGGGCATCATGCTGCTGGCGTCCGATCAGCTCGCTGACAAACTCGAAGTAGTTCAGCGTCCCATCCTGGCCGGCCAGTGGCGGGGGAAACTGGTGGAATCCCTGAAATTGGGGGGAAAATCACCGATCCAACAATTGCGTGATATGGATTGATATGGGACATTATGATCAAGTTGGTACCGTAAATGGTTGGGAGCTGGGATTCGACATGATGTGACCTTTACGAAGTGAAATTCGGTCGGCAATCCATGGTTGTTCAACACAAAACGACCTTCCCTGCCCTACATGCCGCAAGCATTGGTGAGACATGCCCGACATGCCCTGCATAGTTTGCTTAATGTCTTAATCAGTGGTTTTGGATATGTACTTCAATGTACTTTTCTTGGGTATGTGAGGTATACAGCAACTATGTCCGATTTTTCCCCTGTATCGATGATCCCCGCCCAGCCTCGGTCTTCCGGCCTCTAGCCAACCTGAGGGATGGTCTCAAAGCCAAGAATTCACCCGTGAAAATTTGACAAAAACCCACGACGGAATGGAAAGAAATGGCCAATGTCCAATGTAATCATTTAATGCGTGGTGTCTCTGTTTCAACCCAGGTCTTTGGTGGTTTCTCAACGTGGTTGCTGGGGTCGGTACCACTTCTTTGCACCTTCAAGCGGCATGTCCCAACCTCAGGAGCTTTGTGGTTTCATGGCACTGCCGCCCTGGCAGACACACACTTGCCATGTCACAAATGTATAATTTACATACCCTCTGGTAAACTAACATAGCTATTGAAAATGGCCATTTATAGTGGATTTTCCCATTAAAAATGGTGATTTTCCATAGTTATATTAGTTTACCAGAGGGTACATAATCATACATATACACTGCATACTCGTAGGTCTCCACGTAGGGCAAGCCCCAGGGAAAAGGCTTCGGGGGTCCACGGGTCCAGGCTGTTCTGGCAACACTTCTTGCAACATCGCGCCATATCCTGGTTGCTGATCTCCTGGGAGCCGTCCAATGCTGCTATTTTTCCCACCAACCATGGTGAACCATGGGTCAAGACTCTGGTTCCTGGTTGAACCCCAAAATTAGCTGGCAAATGGATGTTCATCCCCCTAAAAACAGGCACCCTCTGGTTCTTTAACGCAACTATGGAAAATTGCCCTTTTGTAGGTAAGTTGTGATGATTTACCTAGCTATAGAATGGTGATTTTCCAGTTCGCTACGTTATATGACCAGAGGGTACATCTCCACTTATCAAGAAATTATCCGTGAATCATTCATTCACTACCCCATGTCCATTATTCACTATATAACTATCCATTGGATTTACCAGATTATTTACCACATTATTAACTATATACCCATGATATTACCATCATGTACCAAGTTTTTTGCATACATACATACATATAGATATATATATATACATATCTCCCATTACTGTTGATTAAAATTGATTATATAAATATTTTGATCCATCGCCACCTGACCCTTCCAAGTCATCGCTCCCCATCGGCATCGGCATCAGCTTGCAGGAAGAGCTGAAGCATCAGGTCAACCACCTCCCGGTGGGCAAAAAAATCATGGGGGTGTCTTTAAAAATCATGGATATATCGCAAAATGGAGGATTTCACGGGATATGATTTGATATAATGGTGATACAATGGTGATATAATGGTGATATAATGCAAATGGGGCGCAAAGAAAAGGGGCAACCGGTGATGAAAAAATATGATCAACCAGATTTTCGTGGATTTGGGAGTTCGAAGATTGAGACGTACCATTGGGGGATCCCTGGAAGGGGTGGAGATTCGCAAAAAGAGACGGGAGGAAATAGAATAAAAGTGCCACAACCGACCAACTGGAAGCAAACATCAACCAACAATCATCAGGTAGTATTACAAAAGCAAACATCAACCAACAATCATCAGGTAGTATTACAATGTATTACATAGTATTACTAGGCATTACTACTACGGTAAGTGTTCACATGGAGGACTCCAAGAATACCACCACTCCATATTTTCGCGTGCGCCTGTGTTTTTGGCTAACTCCCTCCACCAACGATGGGCGTACCACTCTATGTAAGTGGCAGTTTTGCAACTCCATTGAACTGGTAGCTCATCCTAGCTTGGGGACCTTATTTACCCTTCAACCCACATTACGATAGACTTAAAAGAACCGGGGTAAGGGCCCATCTCTGACATAGTCCCCAAGAAAACCCTCCTCCGAAATGCAAGCCGCGGGTGCACATGCCTTGGGTGCCTCTTTCCGCACCAGCTTCCGCAACTCATCCTGGAAAAGGGCTGCGACTTTGGGGCCTAGAACCCAAGTGACCCCAGTAATTCGAGTTCGCGTGTCAAATAGGCAAACAGGCAAACCCTCTAAATAATTAGATATCGAGGTGCGATGCCTTTTTGAAACTAATAGTGCTGTCTCTTTCAATTGCTGCCGAGCCCTGGGATGGCAGCATGTTTGCCCTCCTGGAGGATGGTGAGTGCGTAGTGACCTGAAGCAGGACTGCAAACATCACATCCCAGCCCACACCATCTGTTTTTTTCGTGGGGAATCTCAAAACCTTAAGTCTAACATAGTCTAACTAATTAATTGAAGTTCTAAACTCTAAACCAATTTTAGTTTGTGTGAAAGTCCTCCAGTTCCAAGTGTGGGCACTCACTTCATCCTTGACTTTGCAGGCCCTTGTCATGAAAACCTGAGCTTCCTTGCTGGGTGCGGAGGAGTCTAACATCCAATAGTGCAGCCATTCGTCTCGAGAAACTACAGATGGCCTGGCACGATAGGAACTTGGTCCACTTATTTCGGGCGGCCAATGGACCCACAATTGTTGATCCGTTTTCCACAGTTCGACCATGTTTTTTTCGTGTTTCAAAGCCCTGTATTTCAAGTGCCGGCCTGGGCTTCACATCGCAAAAATGAACAGACTGCTGACTACTGGGGTGTTCAGAGGGTGTTCATCTACACATCCGGAGGGACCCACATCAATCTTGGCAATTCTTGGTGCCTCCAAATGTCGGTGCAAATTATATTTCGTCTTACATCTATATTGTTCCCCAACTCAGAAATAAAGGAGAATAACAATTAAGAATGCCATTTTGGAAGATTTGGGGATGATCAATCCTTGATTTCCGTTACTTTCCAGGTTTCTTGTTGTCAGGTCAGAAGCTTTGCCATCCCAGACCTGAAGAGACTGAGCCGCTGGAAGAGCTGTTCGGCCTCTGCCAACACCAACTCCCGGCCCTGGCGAGGCTGGGCCTATGACTGGGGAGCCCCGAAATGAATGGATCCAATACTCCAATACTAAACCAGGGGTCTAGGGGTTCAATATTTGTGGGATGGAGTTATCTTCATTTTCAGTGGTTCCTCAAAGTTGAAGGAGGAGGGAGAGAAAAGGCTTGAGGAACACGTTCTTGAATGCCTTCAAGTGTGAGGAAACATGTCTTGTTTCCCTTCACCCCGAGATTTGGCGTGTAAAACCATGGCTGTCAAGCTACATCATTTCAAGCATGTAATGTGTCAAACCGCACAATGGAGTTACCATTTCTGGATGAATTTTAATATTGAGACGGATCGTTTCCTACTGAAGGTTTGTTCCGTTGTGTTTAGATCAATTCTAATCCTTATCATTGTTGCTACAAATTGCCATGCTTGGCACCCTCTGGCAATCAAGCATCGCAATGGAAAACCGCACATTTACAAATGATCTTCCCAGCTAGAAGCTTCCATCTATATCCATTTATGGGATTTCCCGAGCCGTGTTTGATGTCCATCGACCTCCGCCATCTCAGAGGTCTCCGTCAGGGCCTTTGCCAGCCACTGGGAAACCGCAGCCTTCGAGGCCCAGGTCCGAACATGGATGAAACAATGGATCGATGAGTTGGTTGAAGGGAAAGTTAGGGGAACAACAAGGGAGTCACCAGCCAAATCTCGGGGGGGTTCTGCAAATTTTACTTGAACAGTTTTTTGGGGGAATGGAGGAAAGATCACCTCCCTGCCATCCTATGAAGCACAAAAACCTTCGGAGCTGGAGAACTAGGCCATGTTTTGCAGACCGAACCACCGAACCATCCCAGACGCAAGCGCATTCAACCCCACCACGGGCTCCCTCTCCATCGCCATCTCTCTTGGCCGCAAATTGTTTATCAGTTCTCCTTCCAAGGTACCCTATTTTTAAGGGCCCTGGATGTCACGTTTTGCACACCGCAACTCATCGGTCAGTGCGGCTCTTCTTCTGGTAGTACTTGATGTAGTCCACCATCATCGTCACTGGGAACTCAGACTGTGTGGCATTGCCACCAGAGTGGCCACCTACAGCCAGGTTAAGGATCATGAAGAACCTCAGCTAAGGCAGCTGAAGCGTGGCTCACAGGAAGGCAAGTACAAATTGGGATCTCTCTCATTCTCTCCTTTCAATGCTAGAAGTGGGATGGTTCTTAGGCATAATAAGTCAGTTGCTGATAATGTTGATTCAGCAAACTCAGAACTCGCAAATGGTGATTCAAGGATGTGGGCAAGTGATTTGGAGCTTGACATGCTTCATTGTGATAGATCAGTGATCAGATTGCATGGGTGTTGGCGATTTGCACCAATGGTCCCTCGGGTGACACTCACACTTGTGCGCTCTCATCTAGAAAATATCCGTTCTTCGGTCTTTGCTGGCTGGGAGTGGATGCCCTAAGATTGCCTTTCTTCGTCAGGTTTCAAGACCTCCAAAGGGATCATAAACTATCAAAATTCCAGGCCCCCAATTTCAAGACAATTAAATTCAATTACTCTTCAAAAGCCAACAAGAAACCATCCCCAATAGAGACTGGGAAATATATGGAAATATATCTGTTTTTTTATCATGAAGGGTTCCCCGGTTCCCCTGCCCCCCTTAAGCCCAGCCACTTCTTGTCATTGGTGAAGGGATTGGGCCAGCTGGTCCTCAGCGGATCCGCCACGCTCAAATCCAGCCTGAGGACTTCCTGGCGATCCACCGAGATGGTGATGAAGTCCTTGTCCCACTCCATGGTCCAGGTGTGATAGTGCCGTTCCCAGTCCTGGGAGCCAAGGGTCATTCCCCCCCAAAAAAAGACGGTTACTTCAACACAACTACATCAGAAAACAAAATCTGTACATTAAACTAAATCAAAGTAGCATGTGGCTATATGCATATCCTATCATATCGCAACAATTCTATCGAAATACACGGCAAAAAAGAAGGAATTTGCCAAGCATCTCAAGATGTTTGTTTACCTGCTCACTAAACCCATCTAAATCCATCTACCCTCTGGTAAACTAACATAACTATAGAAAATCACCATTTTTAATGGGAAAATCGACTATAAATGGTCATTTTCAATAGCTATTTTGACATAACCAGAGGGTACCATCCCTGCCCCCACCAGCCATGCATCCGCATTCACCTTCTTCGCAGCACCATGGAAAATGGCATTGCTGGCGTCGCCCGTCTCGTCAGCATGGATGACGGACGCCTTCAGCATGCCTGGCGCCCCACTGGGCTACTGGAAACGTTACATAGAACGGCCAGAAATGTCAATCATCTCCAGAAAACATACATACATACATACATTACATTACATTACATTACATTACATTACAATACATACATACATACATACATATATATATATAGAAAATTAACGTAATTTAACACAGACATGGAAAGCCGACTGTCTTGTATTGTAGATCATTTTCCTGGATAACTATATATGTTAGTTTCCAATAGGAAACAAATTAATTAACAATGGTTGAATGTTCAGTAGGAGAAGCATCGTATGGATCCATATGCTTCGTTCAAAAATTGGTGAATGTTAGATTCTGTTGGATAGAAAAATCAAGCCCATTTCAAGAGCAATCTCAGAATGTTCAGCATTTTTTCAGGAAAAAAGGAAAGTGCCGAAGGAAACTGGGGAACATAATTCGAAATGTTGTGAATAGTGTGCAATAATTACAACAAGGCAAATCGGTATCAACATGCCCGCAGTTGGTACTCCCCTGCACCTTGGAAGGCATCCATGATGTCGATCTCCCCATTCTTGGGCCACGGCACATCCTCGAAATCTCCCACTGCCCACCAGGACGACCAAGCTCCGGGGCGAGTATCAATCTTCGCTCGCATCTCAAGCTTGCCATAGGAGAATTCCTGGCAGGGCCAAGCTGTTGGAAGGTTAGGCGCTCTGAAGAAAATCCAGGGGCCCGGGTGCGGCTTGCCGCCTAGTTGGGTTTATCAAAGAACGGGAACAGAGACCAAAACGACCAACCGAACTCGTGGGGTAGGTCTGGCTGGGTCCATGGGTGTTGTCCTCAAAAATTTAGGATATTGGAATCACACATATATATATATACACACACACATATATATATATACACATACTGTATATATAATATGAATTATTTGTGATCCAATGTTCGCATACTAAATTTTGCGGTCTCGTGATGTCTCGGGAGCCATGCTGAGGCCCCCACCACCTTTCGACGCGACACCAGGGAGCCAGAGGTGTATTCCGCCCCAGCCGAGCAGTCGCACACTGGGGAGCCATCACCCAGGGTTTGGTCGCAAGGGGCTCCATACTCAAATGTGGGCGGGCCGCACACACTGCAGGCCTCCGCACTGCTGGGGCATTAAAAAAAAAAGCGTCCCCAGAATATGAGAAACCCAAGGCGTTGGGGGTAGCATGGGCTGTTGAATTTAAGACAATATACAGAAATTTGCAGATGTGAGCTCGTCTCATCATGCGCGCCTGTGAACATTACCTTTCCTCCTCCAAAAGCTGTGCAATCGTGGGTTTTGGTGGCTGCATAAGGTTTGGAAACACTCAACAATGTCCGGGATGTGGTCGATCAAAACAATCATAACACTAGCTCCTGCTGGCCATCTCCCCCATCCCGGAGTAGATTCACTGCGCCCACTTTTCTTGCTCTCACCCTCCAAGGTTGGTACTTCTTTGCAGGTTCCATCCCCCACTTAACCTCCTGGAACCTTCCCAAATTCAAGATGATGTCAATGTTGATACTACTGCAAATCCCCAAAACATCCCAGAACCAGATTCGAGGCCATTGTGGGACATGATTTTCCTTGCAGCCCTTACCAACCATCATTTATCTGGCTGAACTATACCACCAAGCTGAAAAGATCTGAAGAATTTGGGATAGTCACCTTTACATAACACGACGTGACCATCATGTCGTTGGCAACGTCGGCCAGTGATTTACCCCCATATATATCCCAATACTGTAATTGCTCAATATATAACCAAGATGCCCATATGGCCCACAAGATTGTCGTTTAATGTTGATTATGGTTGCTCAATTGTTATCAATTGTTACAGCTAGTGCTGCTGATAGGAACCATAATGGCTCATGATATCATTATTCTTGACTAATGTTGACAAGATACTATATAATATGTAATGTTGACAAGATACTCTAGTCTGTATATATATATATATATCATACGTATTCCATGAACATCCATGAGCATCCATCAATCGATGCCAAACCATGATTTTCTCCACGGGACCTCACCATCCAACGCGGGATCATCGGAGCCTTTCACCTGGCGCTCTCCGAGAACATGTCTTAACCGTGCAACATGAGTTGTTCACCAGCACAGATGGTGACTTGGTCCTAAATTATGAGGGTTTTTCCATCAAACTTGTGGTTTTGACATCTTTTCCAGTGTGAAAGATCGAGTCTTGACTTTTAATCATGGACCAAGATGTTTTTTCACCGGCAAAAGTTGGAGTTTACCACTGAACAAATTGGGGCGAATGAAAATGGTCGAGGCTCGGGCACCCACCCAGCCGAACCACCAACCACCACCCAGCACCTCGCACTTGGGCAGAGGCTTGGCTCGCTCGCGCTGGGCGGTGATGACCAAGGCCCCGTTGCGGCATTCCACGTTCTCGGCCTTGTAGAACTGGTTCTCCCTACCTGCTGCGGATTCGGGGTGTGGCTGGTGTGATCAAAATGGAGACGAGCATGAGATATTTATGATGTTCATCGCCATAGGATCCCATGAGTTGGGATGGTATAAGCCCTATACATCCTATAACATCCTATATAGACTATAATGATCTATATAGTACTATATAGCCTATAACATCCTATAACTACGGTGCAGCATGGTGCAACTATAGCTGGAACTGCGCTTCTAAGTCTGCCATGGTTCTGGCTCGAATGCTTGGCAAGGACCCAAATCCTAGCACTCAAGACACGAGCTGCTTTGGAATTGGCCTGGCATGTCGCAAAACAAGAAGTGTTGAATCAGATCCCGGTCACAGCTTGGGATGGGATCATCAATCCCAAGACTCCACTGCCACGTCATGCCACGTCCCACCCACCCTCCGTGAAGCCTGCCTCGCTTGTAACCTGCAGTGGCACAGAGCGTTCTGGAATTCCACGTATGAGCCAGTGTCAATCTGGCTTGATACCCTTGGGGGTCCTCATAGTGGTTGTGATACTCCCTTTTAAGCGATGAAGATGCGTTCCCAACTGATGTGCCAATAATTACCCGACAACGAGGTGAATTCCGCGTACGCAAGGGACGGTTGCATCTCCAGGGTCTGCACTAAAGTTGCTCACCATGGTAGCCAATGCGGGAAGGCTCCCAAAAACCCCCACAGCTGACCCTGCAAATGAAAACCCAACCGCCAGCTGTCTGTTGAAAGCACGGCATCTCCCCCGAAATAAAACATTCTTTGACATTCTTCGTATATCAACCTTCGTGGGCCAATCTCAACCCCTGATCTTCACCTCCAAACCCCCAACCTCCGTCCCCCCCAACCCCCCACATCACCGAAGCCCAGGTGCCAATCTCCGGTGTCCAGCTGAGGGGGTTGGGCCTAAGGATGCCGTTGCGGTCCGGGACGCAGGTCAGGCGGTCGAAGTGATCCTCAAAGACCAGGTCCCACACAGGGAGCCCCATGGAGGCAGTGCTCAGCTCCTGGGTTGAGGTGGCCATGGAGGCTACCATTGAAGCTGCTAACAGTCAGGAGGGAAGTTGAAGCAGCAAGACTTTGGACTTCGATTTCAAAAAGTTGCTGGTGGAACCAGGTCTTCGCCCGTGATTTTGGGGAAATTGGGTAGGGTATGGTAGGGTATGGTAGGGTATGGTAGGGTATGGTAGGGTATGGTAGGGAGGAGACTGCCACTGGTAAATCTGACACTTTTGAGTACCTAACTAATTTCCTCCAAAAGAACTGGATGCTCCACCTCTTCCCCTTCGTCCCCATGCAGTCCTTCGGGCTGCCAATGCATCGGCCAGGACGCCACTGTGCGCACTTGCTGGTGCTGTAGCCCGCAATGCCTATGGAGCTGCAGCAGCTCCCCCCCCCTTGATGGGTACATCATCTGTGTACGGAAGTGACACCAAATGAAGGCAATCAAGGGCTGAAGGTGGTTCATAAACCCTTAACATGGCCCAATGTTGCGTGGTGCGCCTTTGCATGCCAAGAATTCCTATGAAACCAGCTCCCTCAATGGCATCCCTCCAACACCAAAGAGTCGTAGTAAGGGCGCATGACAAACCCAAAAACTCGCTTCGGTGATCTTAGGTGCATCATCCCGGCTGAGTGGCCCCAAACCAACGAGTTCTAACGAGGCATTGCTACAACATGCTACAACCACCTGCTACCTTACTAACCCTGAAATGACTCGCATTCGCGTTGTTAGCCAAGCCAAGTTCGGCCAGCTCGGCCAAGGTGCATTGTGCGGAGCTCCATTGCTCGCTTTGACTCTCATCCACCCCTCCGAAACCAGCACGGAACTCGCACAAGCCGGTGTCTTCCTGGCACACGTTTTTTTTGGCAACAGCAAGGGGCCCTCATTCCTCGGAAAATCAGCAGATTCAAAGATCTTTGGGAAGCTGATCCAGCATGTGAAAGGGATTATTGTCGTCACTAGCGGGGCCTCGGGCCTCCCTAAAGAACAGGGCCTAAGCAAAAACGTCAAGCGTTGTTGAATGTGCTGCGGTGCCTCATAATTGTCTCCATCATTCTCATCGCCAACACGCTTGGGGTTGTTCTTATAGGTGCAACAGCCATCTTCCGCGTGACTGGCGCACATGAGTGCGCAGGCCCACTCATTGATGACTGGAAACCTCAGCATCCATCAACTCTCTGATTGCTCCCTGATTTTCAGGAACACGTAATCTTTCTCTACAGTAAAATCTAACCACTGATTGGATTGGTCAAGAATATTATTGACTGAGGGTTCTTGGGCTTATGAGAAGACAAACCTGCAGCAACTCAGGTTTCTCTGAAAATAGGGTATCTCGGCATCCCAAATTTGATCGTTTGAGATGTTTGATCATAATTTGTTCATCATTTTTCACATTGGAATTGTCACTTTGGGTACCCTCTGGTAATCTGACATTGCTGTTGAACATCAGAACTGTCAATCCGGAGATAAATGGTTCATGTTCATCCATTTTCCCTAGCAACTCTGTAACAAATCACCATGTTTGGGTCTGCCAAAGCCACTCGCCGCTCGCCAAGCAGCTTCCCATTCTGTCGGGTTGGCTTCACCATCTGTGTCGGCGGTGCTGTCGTAGCTGCACCCCGCACGGCCTCGCCGTGAACGAATGGGATTGGATCAACCCAATTTTTCCGCCAAATATCAAGATTCAACGGGTTGATGTAAGGATGCACAAATCATGTACTGTAGGTGAGCGGCAAAACTGCTTGGAACTAACCTGATATCCTCACAGGTGCTTCCCCAAGGATGCAACAAAGGGCCACCACTCCCTTGGTGGGTTCACCCCAGTAGAGCTGGGTTCTTCCTGCTACACTTCTCCTCCCTTCCCTGCAATCAATGTTGGGTCAAACTGGGCACATGTTCGGGGTGTTCGGTCTCAAAACTAGGACTTGAACTTTTGGTTGAAAGACTTTCCCGTACATGGGGTTGTCTCAAGATTGTCAGCCAATCTTAAGTAGAATCCGATGTTTTCCAGCATCTTTCATAAGAACTGGTGCATCGAGTTGATGAGTAAAAATTGATAAACTCATTGTTGAATCACCATGTTTGAGTTCTCCAAAAAAAAAAACTATAACCCCTCAAGTGATTGTTCAAAATCCATCCAAAATAAAGAAAGTGTATTTATCTTATCATCAGTTTCCCATGATTTTCCCTTTTCAAAAATGGCCCCACAACTCTGATCTTCCCCCAGGGACTCCTGCAGCACCTGCGTATCGCGCAGCGTCTTGGCCGCCTCTTCGATCTCCGCCAGGATGCTGGAGATGGGCGGCGCACCCTCGGAGAGGGGGTCGTGCGACCTCAGTGACTTGATCGATCAATTCTATCAAGTCTATATAAGTAATGGATTATAGAAACATATAAGTCTATATAGGTAATATAGAATCCATTACTTGTTGAAATTACTATCAATTCTCGAATGAAATTGAATGAACACGTGGTGCAGGGTACTTATTAATATTTATTATCTATTGTTCTTATCTACAGCGTTGATAGTGATTAAAAGAAACAAAATGAAACAAGGTGTAAGGGCTTACTATACAATCCATGAACATCTAACCCGACAATGTGAACATCTGGCCTTCCCTGACCCAACAGGCATGCCGAGAAGCTGAGGCTTGTCATGAGAGCGATGTATGTGGTGATGCCGCTTCTTCGCACTGATGGAACCTCAACTCACATGGCATGCAAGAAAAAACATTATGGGGTTCCATTGGGGGGCCAAAGCACCGGTTGCCCATGATAAAGGAACATCCTTGCTCTGGATCTGGGGTGATCACTGAGTGATCACCCTTTCTTGGGCATGCCATTATGCACAGTAGGTGCTTCAGGTCGAATCAGTTGACGCCAACAGCACGCGACCCCAACCCTGATCCTTTCAGTTCCAAGGATTGTACATATAGACTCCTGGGTTGCCACCCCAATCAATCTCCACTGGAAGTGAATTTCCATCCCAGCAGTTCCCCCCCACCGGAGGTTTCCTGTCAAGCGTCCATCTGCTTTAACAGAGGACTCGCGATTGAATGGTCCTGCCAATCCTGTCAGCAGCTGCTGAAGGATAAGCAATGCCAGCAGCATGACGATTCGTGATGCCTGGGGCCGTGGTTTTGGATGTTTTGGCGTTTCGTGAGCCCCATATCTAGAGAATATTGGCCAACAGGGACTGGTCACCAACCAAGCACTTGGGGTGCAAAACGATACACCATAGCCTACAGTACCATCTGAAATTCCTGCATCTGTGAAGTGTCTCAGGACCTGCAGTGTCCGAACCACGGGATCCAAATTGCTACTGTAGTATAGCCAGGTACCCACAAGTGATGGTGTTTACACTATCACGCTATGGTTGGCGTTGTTACCATCTCTGATGGCCCAGTTGAGTCCACACCCATTTACTCTGGAAGCAAATATTCAAGGCTTCAAGGTGTCTATGGACAACATAACAGAACATGTCTCAAGCATTCACCTGCAGAAAATTGCAGAAAGCTATGACCACAAATCAGGAGTTCACCAACTAACATGGAAAAAAATGTATAATCTAAAGGGGATACATACGGGTTTGTCTGAGGTTTATCATCACTTTCCGCAAGTTTAGGGTGCATACCCCAGTTCCAGAATTCCATCTACGGATCCAGGTCCCCCTTTCAGGCCTCAGGAACCACGGCACCGATCGCCAAACTGTGAGCTTGAGCCCAGAGGTGTGCCACCAAAACAGCCCAGTTTCCAGCCCAAGATGCAGCTCAGGTGTTGACAAACTCCAAGCACTGCGGACTTTGTTATGTCCATTCTGCAACGTAAAAAAGGAACCGTGGATCTCAAAACCGAACTTTGTTTTACCAATTCATTCCTCTTATATATAGATCTGCGGATATCTGCGGTATGTAATTCTTTCAGCTTGTGAGGATCCCTGACAAGGAAAAGCAACATGTCTCACACAAACTTGTCTATAGTAGATTATAGTAGTCTATAAGACTATAGATGTCTATAGGTCAAAATGTGAGACCGGCCCCAAAATCCAGAAATCTCAGCTGCCGCGCCTCCTGTGGGAGGCTTGAATGTGCCTTCTCCGAGCCCGTCAAGGCAGAGAAATACCTGGAGAAAACCACCTGGGCGGAGGGGAAACTGGGGATCGGTGAAGATCTCACTATCAGATCTACCCTCTGGTTATTTAACATAGCCATGGTATAGATGGCCCATTTATAGATGGTTTACCTATTAAAAATGGGGATTTTCCATGGCTATGTTAAATAAGCAGATGGTGTCAGTCACTATCACCAACCAGCCTGGGATATGGATTCGATATGGCATGGGGTCACAACTTTGGTGACTTTCAGACTCTGAAATAGGCTCGGAATTCTTGGCCTCACACCCTGTGCCCAGGAATTTGCTCTGTTTTTGGTGTCAGCAGACAGAGCTGAGCCATTTCTTGGGGGACAAACCTGACGCAGTAGCCATGTCCTCATAGCTTCCGGGCCACCCTGCAGCTTGATTGACTTGAGGCGTCACCTTGGTACTACAGGTGAGGTACATCTCAACCTCTACCGGCGACCTGGTACGCAGCCGTTGGCCTTTTTGAAAGCAACGCGGTCTAAAATTCTCACATCAGAGTTGATGAGAAAAAACCAGCTGTCAAGTTGTCCAATTACATCCATTGGCCACAATACATCGACAAGTTCATTTAAAATATCCAATGATCTGAATTCATGATAGCAACATTAGCATTAGCCTTGATTTCTCATCAACCCTGATCTGACGAACACGGCACACGGCAGCTTCGCAGCCAGACGCCGAGCGTAGGCTCAGCGCTCAAAAAGTGAAGCAACCGACGTCGGCGCAGCTGCTCACTTCATCTCGCCGGCCTGACTGTCAGCACACCCTTTGAACGATGCTTCGGAAATCGGGTGTAGATTCAGTACCTGAACTGTAATCCAGCAATCAAAACATGTCAAAACGATCTAAACAGAGTTAAATGGTTACAGCATATTTGTTCAATGGCAAACATACCCGTGAATCAGTTGATCGATGATTTGTATAGGGACCCATCATGTGGACCCACATCACCACGGATAGCCTCGAGGATGTCGATCATGTTGAACACCTGTGGGGCAAATGATGTGGCTTTTGTCTTTTGCCTGAACATAGGGTGCCCTACAAGGAAAAAAGCATGGCTTGTCATCATTTTCCCCATAAGACTTGAGGCCCAAGGGGGGGTGAACGAAAGCTCAGGTTCATATGAGCCTGGAAACATGAGGAGATTTTGATGGGATTTGGATATGCAGAATACAGATCGCCTAGAGACCTGGCAAGATTTGAGCCCGTGACCATCTGCTTCCAACACTGCTTCAAAATACCATAGTACATATACCGTATCCCATTGCTGGGCAAACCCACGTGTCAATATGTCCCAGATTCTTGATGTATTGCAACACCTGATGCTTGGGTTGTCACCATGTTTACTTGCCAGTTCTCCCTCTCATCTATGTGCCCGCTTGACAGGGATTTCCCGCAGTTATTCTTAGGGAAATGGACAAATTAACATTGCAAACCCAGCAATACGCTTAACGTTCGTTTTAAAATGTTTGAGATGTGATTTTCAATATATCAACTACCCCTCAAGCGAAACCTTGGTTCAGTATTGGAGTTCTTCTTTTTGGGCCCAGTCATGGGGGGACGTTGGGGGATGGCCATAGGTCAACCCAACCCATTGCCACTTCCCCCAGCTGAGATTCGGCCTTCTTCTCCGACTTCTCCGCGGCTTTTCGTGCGATAAACTGCACAGCATCCGCCACACCCTCGCCATAAGTACGACGACCGCAGACGTTGTGTTTGAACTGGAACCTCGGAGTTCAATGGATTTCAATGCATCTGATCCAGTTGTAACAGGAAATAATCATGAATAATCTTGGAGGTCAGTAGGTTTCAGTGGGTTTCAAGGGACATCAATGGATCTAAACAAATAGCATGGGTGTATAACCTATCTCCCATCACCAATCTATCTCCAGTCGCATTTACAGTATTTTAATGATGGGTCGTTTCAGGTCACTCAGAAATCATAAGTCCTTGTGATACTGGTGCCAGATCTGGAACGTTGCAGAGTGAGTTGCTGCACAGATCCATCTGAGCTGGTCAGAGTGTAGGTGTGAAAGGCGTGACCTGTCGAGTACTCCTGGCTGCAGAAGCCAAGGGGGATCCTTTTCCACCATGGATCCAGGTGTTGAAAATTTGAATGGACAGCAAAGATCGAAAAAAGTGGATCTACCCTACACCCAGATTTCACACCTCAGTGATTGCCCCCCATTCTTTTGGAAAGCATCTCAGAGGACACTTCTTCCAGCGTGTCGGTCCTCTGGCACACCAAAGGCTCTCTGCGATGCATCGTCGCGGAGCATGTGGATCTGCAGGATGCACATGTTGAAGGGCAATGGTTGCGTTCAGCCAGTTCCCAGAAATGGAAATTGCACATGTGATAGAACTGTCATGTTTTCACTCCCATATCCATCTAGCTGGTGCACTTACAAGATCTTAAAAGCTGATCCGAAGCATACTTTGGTCGATTGTGGATAGTCATCCTGGCAAAAATGAAATATCCTGAAGTGCCGAGGCGTGGCAACCAGAAAGCCACGATGCTTCGATGCTATCAAGCTACGCACACCAAAAAATCCAAAAAAAATCGTGCTTCAAATTTGGTGTCACGGGGACATATGGGGGCTCACTTCCTCCTGGGCCAAGCATGGCAGTGGAGGATCATCCCACTTAGCAAGTGGTAACCATTGTTACAGTTACAATATATTACGATCCATATATAGTTTAGGATAACCATGGATAACCCTCTTGGACTTACTAACCAGGACCAACCAGGTCACCAGCATTTCAATCATGATAAACCCACCGTGCTGGTGGGTGGTTCCTGCCTGATCGTGGCCGAAAGGCTCCACCCCCAGCTGCTGAAAAGATCCCACCTTGGGAGCTGAACCCAAGCGGTGATGATTTAAGTCTGTGTGTGTGTGCGCCTATATGCAAATACGTAACCTGTATGTATAAGCATGTGTGCGCATATGTATATATATATACAGTATATCATGTATGTATGCATATGTATATATGCATATGTATATATATATACATATATATATATGTACATAAATATATATATATACATATATATATATATATAATTCATATATATATACATATAATATATGTATCATGTATGTATGAGTATGTATATATATACACATATATATATATATTATATATATATATAATACGTGTGTGTGTGTATCACTCTCTCTCTCTCTTTCTCTTTCTATTTATCTATATGTCACGTACATATGGGTGTGACTCTTTAACCCACACCCATTCATTGGGAGAAACAAACACTCCCGCGCTGCTCCCCGTCGCCGACGTTTTCACCGGCGCCCTTTGGTTTCGCTCCATCGGCCGCCCCAGGGCGAAGGTTTGGGGGTTGGTGGAGGCTTGGAGGGCAGCTTCGTGGGCAAGGAGCCGCCTGGCACCAGTGGATCCATGGGGACTTAATCAACAAAACTGCTGATACTATGGGATATTATGGAGATAGTATATCGATATATATATATATATATCGTTGATATGTCCATTCTATAGTTTTCGGTCATTTCACAGCTTGCTGTGGAAAATTGCCCATTTCGTGCCATGATTTGCCTGTAACAAAACGGCGATTTTCCATAGCAAACTGTAACTCTGGTATCAGAGGGTGCCAACTCTGATCAGCAAACCCTCCTGGCTAGTCTTCACGCAAGAACGTGCGTTTCAACATCACCTTGCAAATGGAAGCTGTATGGACACATGCAGCATGATCAGCATGCAATAAGGAATTGCAACAGAGAATGAAGGATCGAATGATCACGTAAAAAGACTATGACAATGTTGGCAGCGTTGCAGGTGACCTGCAGCCGTTCTAACCTCAATCTCCTAGCATCAAACCACATTCCCAGATCTAAATTCCCAAAATATCTCCAAAAAACTCCGAGAATCTCCCAAAATCAAACATCAAACAAAATCACCCAGATCCAGATCCAAACTCCAGCCTTGAACTCTGGCCTCCGCATCGATGACTTTTCCAATCTGATGAAATGAGGTGCCCAGCTGCGCGTTCACGCCCGCCGTGGCTCCCTTGCCTCGGCCCTTGCCGCGGCCCTTGGGCTGCCGGCCGGTGCTCACGGTGTCGCGCTCCAACTGGCGACCCCTGGCGATGGCGAACAAGAATCAACATGAGAAAAAGACTGAGAAGAGAAACAAGAAGAAGAAGAAGAAGAGCAATAAGAATGATATTTGGACATAACATACATGTATCATTATTATCATTACATATCTACATATGGGCAAAATATGTATGTGCCTGTGAAAATCAAGAAAAATATACAAAAATAACCCGAATCCCAGTCATAGCACTCCCCACTGGATATGTCCCTCTTTTTCGGCCTCAAGACTTCTGCACGCTCCACTTCCACGGTCTTCAGCTGCCGCAGCAGCGCGCTCTTCCGAGGCATTTTCTCAGCTGCAGACTCGACTGGGATGGACTTCTCCACCAGGGCCACCTGGAAACGAAAAATGAACAGAGTGGCCATGAGTGGCCCATAGTTTCACTGATTTCCAAAGATCCTACAGATGAACAGAATATAACAGAATCATCATGGAAAACATGTCTGTTTGGCCCTGAAACCCTTCAATCAGCTTGGCTTCCAATTACAAATGGGATCAAATCGGGTTATAAATCCCGATTTATCCAATTTCAACTCACGGTTGTTGCCGCAACCAGAGGACAATCAGTTAGTTTCAAAAGTGTTCTTGAACTCTGTCTCGTTCCTCTAGTTAACTTCAGCAGAGTTAGAATGGCTGCAAACTATAACCGAATAGAAATCCATAGAACTTGAATATCCGATAGCTATAGCATGTGATAGGGCACGATTGCACCCTTTCCAGCTACAGTTTTATTTGTCTCTCATCTCAGCATGGCTAACCTTAGATGAAGAGCAAAAACGTAGACATTTCTTGGCTCGTTGCTGAATATCCCCTATTGAGATAGAGAATGATAGAGAACAGCAACCCCCAGAAAATAGAAATCTATGTTTCCACTATTTTTGTAGGATTGTACGTTAATTCACTGTTCCACCCTTTTTGATCCTTTTTGGGGGTTGCTATAGAATCTATAGCAACTATAGTAACTTAAGCAATCCTCAGGTTCTGTCCGCCTCGCTGCGTTTGCGCAGAACCTGCTGGCCATCGGGCAGTGTCAACTGCAAGGAACTGGGCGGAAGCTCGCAGGAGACTGTGGCCAGAGTGCCCTGCAATTTGTCTTTGCCTCGGCAAGGCTTTTACCGAAAAATGCAAAAAATGGGATGCCGTCCCTGGTGTCTAGGAAATGTTGAGTGATATAAACACTCAATGGATGTCTTTAAGGATTTGCTTACAGGAAGCCCTGGTTTTTCCTGCTGAACATGAGGCGGATTCCTGTTCCTGCGAATGTTATCGTGGGAAACAAGCACAACCTGCTTGTGAACAAACATGGCAATGAAAACCTCCCACTTGCAAATGATTTCATTTGTTCCAAATTCTGATCCTAATGATCCTAGATATTCTGACGGACTACAAATGTTCGGGCAACCCTGCCCATCAGAGCGGTCTGGAATGACCATATGAGTCAACAGGCCATGTGAGGATATGTGAAGCCGGAAACGAAACACTGCACACAGAAACTGGAATTTTAATATATAGTGCGTTTGCGACAATATGCAATGATTTCAATGGCCAATCCCAAGCGGCCCAAGCCTTTTAAGACCTTCACGAAATTGCTAAATTGACAATTGGGTCTGGATTACCTTTCCTAGGGTTTGAGCCGCCTGATTTGCCTCGTTACCTCGTTTGTTCCCCTGCATTCCCGGCCTTGCGCCGGTTTCAAGATCTTCACCACATCACCAGTGACCACACTGTTTCCAGTGCTACCCCTGGCCATTGGCGCCACAGTGTCCGCCAGGGTGGGCGCCTTCCTCTTGCGCTCTGCCTTGGGCGCAGCCGCCTTGGGCGCAGCCGCCTTGGCCTTGGCCTTGGCCTTCGCCTTCGCCTTGGCTTTCGCCTTGGCCGCAGCCTTTCCGGGCCCACTGGGCTCACTGGGCTCACTGGGCTCACTGGGCTCACTGGGCTCACTGGGCTCGGACTCCGCTTCACTGTCGGAGATCCTGAAGTCCAGCCCCTCGTCGCTGGCGGTGGAGCAAATCTCCATGTCAGCATAGTCAGCATAGCCACCTTGGGCGGCGCTGAGCTGGGCGGGAGAGATGGAAGCTTCCGCCGGTGTGGGCAGCGATTGCTGCCACATCTCTGAGATGCTTGGAGGTTTTGGAGCATCGAATGGGCTATGTGAGCTTGGCTGCGATCCTGGACATCCCTGCTTCAGGTGCTCAAACAACTCCAGCTCACCCTGCAAATCCATTTCTTCTTCCTCTTCCTCTTCAATTTGATCTGGTGGTTCATCAACTTCCTCCGGTGCTGCCAATGGCTGCAGTGGTTGCAGTTTCCCAGCAGCTTCTGGCTGAACCCCATCCAAAACCTTCCAAGCACCCCAGGCAGCTGCCACCGAGCCAGCATCCGACACCTCGAGCCGTGGCCGCTTCGCCGCTGTTGTGGGTGGCTCCTCGAGTTTGAAGGCATCGTCCTGTGGGCAGATCATCTGCCATCCATCAGCGAATGGGTTTGATCATCCAAGGCAACAGAGGGGGTCGATTTCTATTGGAAGTTCGCTATCGCTTTGTTGGGGGGTCACCCATACTTCATGAACCATTGTTTACTAGACCGGGGTAGTCGTAAGTAGGTTCTGTGGGCTTGTTGCTGGTTGTTGGTATTCCTGGGGCTACCCAGCAGTGATCATCCTCTTCCATTAAAAAAGATGGCCAACCACCCATCGCATCCTCATCCTCGGGTCTCTCTTCAGGCACTGGCGGCTTCTCGCCTCCAACATCTTTGCTCCGCACGGGCAGCGTGGCCTCCAGGTGCTTTTGGGCTGTCCCATTCACTGCTGGCTTTGTGGCTGCGCTGTCTGGGGGCTTTTCCTCACCAGCCAGGCTCAGCCAGGAATCCCAAATGTCTTTGGTGGAATCGGTGGTGCCCACATTTCCGTCGCCCTTCAACTCGTGGAAGAGCGCCTCGGCATCTGATATAAAATGAAGAAAGCTCAGTGTGGGAGGAGTGAACCATAAGCATAGTGACATGACCATGTATCACCTTTCAAACGGGATTGAGCCCCTTGAAACAATTTGAAAGACACGAGCCGATCCAAAAAAGTCTTCACATACCCTCCCTTCCAAGGTTCCATCTCATCCACCTCTGCATCTTCCTCTTCATCCTCCAGAAAATCTTCTTCCTGCATAGGAACCTGGGTTGCCACTGCGCCACTCAGCCGTCCATGGCTCAGCGGGACCAGCTCTCTAGAGGGGATCTCTATGGTGTCAGTTGATTTTTGCTGATTGGATCTCTATGGCACCATGCGTCCTTGGATTCCCAGGGCCCAAAGCATGGGAGCATCAAAGCCTCTCTTCATTTGGGCAATTTACCGGTCTACCCCCAACTATCTTACTCCAATACCCCAAGATTGCTCTGAAGTCCATGATTTTCGGTGAGTGCATGCTGCGATGCTTGGAGAATGGGCACCAGGCACAAAAACGGACCTGCCAGCTGCGCGGACCCTAGGCCTGTGAGCCCAAAAACTGTGCCGTTTATTTGATCCGCACTTGGCTAAGGTCCCGCTAAGAAGTGGGACGCACAAACTTTGTCAGAAGCGGGTTTAGACAAAATGTTATCACCAGTGGGTCAGTGGTAGGTGGGGTTATCCCGACCACTGTCGATTTGCAATTGTGGTGAACTACCCCCACAAACACAAGGCCACGAGAAGTTGGTTACAAGCCCACTGATACTCCCACAACCCGCTGCACAAATCCATCAGATCCACCTTAACAGGTGCCCAGGTGGGGCACCCATCCTGGGAGCATCCAAGACTTTAGCTCTCCCACTGCCATGAATTTGAGCCGAGCAGCCATGGCTTTGGCAGTACCACTGGTGTCGGCCTGGTGGCAGCTCAAACATCATCGTTCCCTGCTGAAAGGGATGGAAACCACGGGTTTTACTATGCGGTACTCCCACCAGTTTTAGGATTGCAGATTGTTTCGGGTTGACCACATTGCTCCAAGCCTCATCTGTCAGGTATGCCATAGCTACTGGATCAAAGAGCACATCTGACATTGCTTGGGACATTCAATCAGTGGTCCGTGCATCTTTCAGTCAAATATCCCTTTGAAGTGCATGGTGGATGCAAACCCAGGGCAGGGCTCTTGAGTGAAAGTGGATTTTAGAAAGATGTGCCCTTGCAATGTTTCCCACCTATCGATGGGGTGAACGACCTCCCACTACTAGTTTTCAATTCAACAGCCTCATCGCACCCATCATGTACAAGAACTCGGAGTATATGTGCCATTAGCCCCTCACCAGAGCCCTTTTCAGTTTGCACCTTTGTTTTCTGGTGCGATTCTGTGACTTCCAGTTTGTAACCTTAGAGGGGCCATCTTCCACCCACAAGGAGCAAAGGTCGGAGTCTTGTGTCACAACTTAGGCCACATGCGTTGAGAAAAGGCCTACTAGTATAGTAAATAAAACAAACCATATATATATATATATGTTATAATTTTATAATGATACCAGCACTACTGATTCTAATGATCACAATTGTGATACATAATATGTACAGATATATCATGTACGCATGGATGATAAAAGGTCCAAACAAATTGCCGCCTGGGGATCCTGCCAGAGAAAGCTCCCGGAAAATCTTTGGCCATCCTGCAGCGGGGCTTCGTTTAAGGGAGTATCTTAACCGGAAACCATCGTTTTTACCTCCAATCCTAGGGGGTTCTTGCAAATGCTCCCTGAGAGCAACGCTGGGAGATATGTGGAGATATAACATGATATATGGATATAACATGGTGTATATATAACCCATGTAACATTTTTTTAACATTGTATAGCTGATGCATTTCATTTACGATTCCTGGGATGCACATGGATGCACCCCCAAGTAAGTCTTGCATACTGGTGTGGGCATATTCCGTATGTTAGATATATATAGATGTGTGTGTGTGTACATGCATGCATGCATGTGTGGGCAGGTGTACACCTACATACTACCCCTATATATATATATATGTGTGTGTGTGTGCGTGTGTGTGTGTGTACAAAGTATATCTATAGGATAATGATGTATAACTACATATACAGAGTTGTTCCTTTGCGCGTGCTGCATGAGCTCCATTCCGACTTCACAACCCAGCGCTGACTGGGCCTCTCCATGGTGGCCTGTAATGCTACAATCTGCTTCCCCATATTTGGAGCCTTGGCCAGTCTCAGCAGAATCATGTTTGGATCCAAAGGGTAGCGAGGATATGAATGGTTCAACCACCAAAATGTATCAAAATGTTGTTTTGACCCAACAGGCCCACAAAATCTGAAACTGTTGTATTTGGAATGAAGCGGCTCTCATATCTCTCTCATCAAAATGCCAAAAAATACAGATGTTGAACTTTGCTGGTCGTGTCTTCTTGCTGCCCATCAGCCAGGAGTAACGCAAAATGAGATGGAGAGAACTTCACCCGGAACCTAGATTTGGTTTAGTTGCAGAATTCATTGTAAATCATACCTACCTGGCCTTAAAGAACTAACCTCCCAACTCAGCTAAGGGTCAATGACCGCATAGACGCCGCTATCCTGCGTGACTTTCATCAGTGCGTCGCGGTCGCCGCCGGTCGTGCCGAAGACAAAATTGACACCCGCCTCGAGCAATCGCAGGAGATCGCAGGGCACCGTGGCATGGGCAACTGGAAATCTGGGGAAGCGAAACAGTGATATTTGGGTTTGTCCAAAAATAGGATACCCACAATGGGAGTTTCATGGTGGGAAATTGCATCATGCTTATAATCCATTGGACCCTGAAAAACCCTCCTGGCGTGGTGGGTCAGAGGATGACATGCGACGATTTTGCCACGGCACTGAAGCATAAAGCTCAGAGTTCGGATTCACCTTGGCCGTAGCTGCCACAGCTATTGCAAACAATACATCAAAATTATGATTTCAATGCGAACCCGACTAAGTTTGGCTCATGAGTATATCAACAGCTGGTACAGTTACAACGATACAATCGAGAAAATTTGGGTTCCAGTCCAGAAAATGAAGGGAAATCCTTGCAGGAGCGAAGTCGCACTGAACACATCACAGAACAGGCCTCGTGCGCATTGATATCCAAACCACAGAATTTCAGAACCAGTCCATGTCAGATCCATTTTCACGGATTGGTGTGACTCGGTTGTTTCCAGTAAAAGTCTCGCACTCCCCATGATCTCCAAAAAAATCAAAATAGAGTTCCAGGATTCCCAGAGATGATGTGGTCCGTAACTCCTAGAGAATCCAGCACCTGGAGCCGATCGATTTCCCAGAGCGTGGCACCGCTGTGGGATGGGTGAAGTCGATAATCACCAGCCGATCGCCGTGCTGCTTTCTGAGCTCCTGATGTCAGGTCAACAGTTCCTGCCTCAATGGGGGAGATTGACCAACAAACGTATTATCAAAAATGGGGATTGGTGGGGACATACAACCATCCCATCATCAAACAATCTTTCTGAGATGTTCTGTACGAAAATATGCAACAATATCAAAGAAATATAGGTTGTAATCATGCAAACACTTCACCTTTTGGTCGGTGTAAACCAAGATCTTGAGCCATTGAGCCCCTCAACAGATCAAACTGGTCCTTTCCAGCATCTCACACATCTCACACGAAACCATGCACAGTCTGCACCGTCTGCGCTCATGTTCCCAAAAGAAACGTGCTTTTACGAGCACAGTTTCCAGTCCGCCAGGATGACCCATTAAAAAAAAAAAAACCAGCTGTGGCCCCTCCTCCAGAGCTTGCTTCTGGGCGCCTGGGGTCTCTGGCCCCACCAGGGTCACATCCACCACTGCGTCGCCTTCCTTCACCTTGACACGGTCTATGGGATGATGGTTTACATGGCCCCGAGTCATGGTTAGTATGGTTAGTTCATGGGATAGTTAACTATTGGGCTTGCAACATGATGGGATTTCACAGGATTTCACAATCAAACAAAAAAGCGGCTTCTAGTTGAGTCATCCGATATATAGACAGCAATATGATCATATGATATTTGGGTGTGTCTTCCAATTGGGTACGCCTGTACACCTCAAATTGCCATTTGAAGGGCAAGTTGAGCTGATGCACGGGGATTGGGGGTACCGTCTTTTCAGACAAACTCATAATTACGATGTCGACAGTTGGGTGCAATTAAAAGAACATAGCAACATAGTAATGGAAGTTGTCAATTTTGACCGGGAAGTGTGTCTGCAAATGGGGGATGTCAGCCAAGTCTACAGCACTTTAACTTGGATGGTTCCCAGGAGAAAAAAGAAGTTGGACAGGTTAGGAGTCAAAGTGATGAACATCCGCTATTCATTGGATAGAGTGATCCTGCGTCCCAAACCTGCCTGGCACTGTCCGGGCATGCTGGGCCCTGTAAGACCCACAGGTGCCAAGGTCATGCCTGCGCTGAATTTCAATGAAGTCAGACTCCATGACCTTTCAACAATTTATTTATCCATAATCCATGGTCCATTTTTGCGAACGTGCTAAAGCCAGCCATTTTTAGGCGCCAAAACCAGGATTTTCCATGGCGCCTCTGCGCAGGCAGGCCTGCGACACCTCGTGTCCCATGGCACCTGGTAGGCCTCATGGGCTGCCACAATGAAACGGCCACGTTCATGGGGAAACAAGTAGAGTGAACCTGATAAAACAGTGGGGTTACCATATGTTTGGACATGCCCATAATGCCCATGTGAAGTAGAAATTTCAAACACCTAATCCACAACTTCTGGCTGAAGAAAAGGCATTCACCAAAGTGGCACTAGGTTATGCTGGAGCGCGCCCCCTTGCAAACCATTCTGCATGACGACGTCGATTTGAGGTCGTTAAAATTCACCCAATCCAGAGAAATTACTGGTCAGTTTTTCTAAGACTTCCCAATGTTGGCCCTTTTGACCCACATCCATCTCGAAGACCACTTTTGAAATCTTGCAATGTGATCCCAAGAATTCTTAATCTGACACGTGCTGTAATTTTGTACATTTGGTTTTCGAACAGTCCAGTGGACAAGTTGATGCCTCGCAATGATTGGGATCCATTTATTAGAAAATATGACAAGGATTGAACATGTAGAAGATTGAAACGAGCTTGACAAGTACGCGGAGTCAATGCCAACTGTTTGGAACGAGGATGTCGCAGAGCAAAGGCTTTGCAATGCCCAGGGATGCCCACAGTTTTTCTGGTTATTTTGTGCAGGCAAGCAGCCACTGACACATATCACCTCAGTGTCAGCTCAACCTCACAACTTTCCAGTGATGTAAGAGGATAGGCACACAGTTTCCCACAGCGACTTCCCATTGCGACAAGTTGCAATGCCGGCCATGTTGTTTCGGACACACCGCGTGCCGGCGCGGACAAAAATGGATCAAAGCTGGAGCCGCAGACACAAAGCTACACAATTGGGGCATCCATGACGTCAATGTCTAAAACCATTCCACCTATATAAAGTCTACAGTAACCATCTGTAACCTGGATATGAAAGGTCGCGACTTCCAGCAGCAAAGTCAGCCCCAACCAGTTCGACTTCCATATTTCAAGAGGGTGGTTGTCATAAGTCTTTTCGTAAAATTGCCTGGCGATGTTATGTTGAATGGGGCTGAAGATGATGTCCAAGCTGGGAATCAGATTTCAACAGATTAAGCTGGTAAATTCTATATCTTGAAAGAGAGCCTCTCAAGGTGAACCATCATCCATGGTATAAGTTTGGTTTGAGATGTTGCTTAAAATGATCCAGACCTATTCGGACCTGGGTTCTGCACAGCTCCAGCTGGAGAGTCGCTGGCAGTCTCCTGACGTCACAATGGGGGAAAGATCAACTGAATCCTAACTGATATCAACTAATACCTCATATCAGCATTAGTTGATCTTAGTCTTGATCTTAGTCTATAAAATTTGACATCAGCTACTACAGTAATCAATATCTAGCTATATAATATCAATAAAGAAAAAGCAGCATTCAGAACTGACCCTGGCCTCCAGAGGCCTCACGCTGGTGGTCTGCCCCGTGCTCAAATTGCTGATGGTCAGTGCCTCGACATCGACATCGATGGCTGGGGAAGATAGGATGAACTCGAAACCCGTCCATGGTAGACATGGTAGACTAGAGTGACTAGGCCTAGGCTCGATGAATGGATTTGAGCAACTAAACTGGACAAGTAGAGTTCAGTAGATGTCCAGAGGGAGCGAAGAAGCTGAAACGAACAATAGCTTGAATAGCCCGGCGGCTTGGATCCTCATTTCCCCAAAAGAAAAGTCCCTGGAGCACTGGAAAAGGCAACAATTGCAAAACACTCAAGCCCACAACCTTGCCTCCAGGTTCACACGGTACTTGCAGCCATTGTCCTGCACCATGCAAGACTAAGTTATCCTTGAAGACGCGGCAACATATGCCGAAAATCTAACCTCATCCCGCTGCCTCTGTTTCGAAGATCGTCTTTCCTTGACGCACGGACTCTTCAATTGACGCACCTCAGGTGACATGTCCGCAGTTCTGACAAACCCCACTTGGCACATCCAACAAGGCACCGACTCTAAGTCGCAAACACGACGCAGGGAAAAAGGTGCTTAGGCATGTGTAGTCACAGACAAGTTGCTTGAGTATAGCTTATGCAAAGTCAGGTGGCCCCCGATGCCAACAAAATGTGTATTTGTTTCATGGCCGTGTTTCAAGACAATCGACGACTTACCTATGTCCAAATAAACCAACAATGGGATGGCTTAGACACTCCCAAAAACATCCTGCCGTTATGTTTTGATCCATACCGTCGCCTTGGCAGACCTGAGATAAGTCTGTGAACTGAATACGGTCACAGGCCGCAGTGGCCGCTTTTTGAATCAATCGAAGCCAGCTCACACCTCTTCGACTTGGCCAGGCAACTGCATGGTGCCAGCAGGTCCCCAGTCAGATCTTGCTGCCAGGTTCTTGAGCACGCTGGTACACCTACTGCTTCCGGGTTCCACCACGGGTCCAAGAGGTAAACTTGGTTTACCGCTTGTAAGTTCGATCCTTCCACATCTTCCATCCCAAGCTGCAAAGAAATGAGCAAAACGCTCAAATCCGTCTCGCAAAACTGCTGGAGGATTCGGCCTCGAGTCTTCATAATATCCCATTCGTAATCCCTGCTTCACCACGTCGGATCACACTGTAGTGGCGTTCATCCCTTTAACAGCGAGGTGACCACCGCATGCATCACCAAGTCCCTGCTCTCATGGGAATTCATCCCCTGAAGCTCCACTGCCACGCCCAACTCACTGACCTCCCCAGTCCAGACCTGCACCTCCTTCCCCTCCTTCCCCTGGGCCAAGAGAAAATCAATGCGCAGAAAGGGAATGGGGCTGGCCGACATGCACTGGGCCCACAAGATCCACTGCTGCACTATGCTGTGCATCCTCTCCTCACACTTCTGCTGCGCCATTTCGCCGCCCAAAAGTTGCGCCGCAGACTTGCGGGGCATGTACTGCGGGGGCGCTTGGTGCTCTGGGAAGCGGTAGTACTGCCTGGGCACAGCGCATAGCAAGACAAGCGGTCTGGGGAAAATTCCGACATCAGCCCAGCCGCCACGCCATCGACCCCCACCCAAATCAACGACCAAGGTGCGGAAATCCCGCCACCTCACCATGAATCACATAGACCATGGCCTCACACAGAACTCCTTCAATCAACTCCTGCACCATGAACGAAGCGTGTTGGCCTTGCAACGAGGCGTGTTGGATGCCCAGGCCGCACATCATTTTGTCGGAGTGGCTGTGCCGCTATTGCAATGGTTTTTGTACTTATTTGGAATGCGTCATGGGCCTTCCACGAATTGTTAAACCTTCAATGCCTTCAAAATAGGGGTAATTGAAGCCGGCTGCCCTGGATACACAGTCCTCTTAAAAAGCTGCATACAAACAATCTAACTGCTGAACAGAAGAAACGGATTCCGTGTTCCTAATTCGTAATTGAATTGTTGGCTATTATGTGTAGATTCCGTGTTCCTAATTAGTAATTAAGTTGTTGGCCATCATGTGTACTGTGGTAAACCCAACGATAAATCCAAAAAGTGGGATTAAATTGGTATGTCTGATGTCTGCTTTATTTTTACTTCCTGTGGAGGTTTGCCATATTACAACTGACCTGCAAAAATCAATTTGAGTTGACTTTGCAGCTTTCAGAGGCCTTCAAAAAGCATTTACACATTCAAAAAAAAAAACGCCCCGCGTTCCACCCCGCCATTCTGCCAGGCCTGCGGCTGCGGCCTTCGCCAAGGCACGCGATAGGTCCATGACATCATCACGGCAGAGCTGCACACCGGAGGAGCGCCATGAGTAGCCCACCTGGAAGGGGTTGCACGGCAATGCACGGCGATGCATGTCCCAGAATTGCCCACCCAAACACCGGATGCCACGCCTTAACCGCAGCACGTACACCAGCTGATTTCAGTGGTCTGCCCATGGCTTCCCTCAATCTGCACAGGGCTTGACACGCTTCCTCCGCCGCCCTCTGGCCTTTGGTTAACACGGCCTGCCGTGAAACCCGCACGGTGAGGGGCACGTGGTACTGAGGCGACAAACATAGCTGCGAGGGCCATTCCTTGCCCGCCAAGGTGCGGTATAGATACGAGGGGTGCGGCCAAACGGTGGGCAGCCCAGCTTCTTCCAGTGCCTAACATATGGGCATGCGCCTGCCTTGATCATATTTAGACATATTTGGATACACCTCTTAATTCTTATACCGCTCCATTTTTTCCAAAAGAAAATGAACTTAAATCAGCATAAAAGGGGGCAACTGCTGCCCCAGCCACCCGCCTCCATGAGCCCAAACAGGGGCGCATCATGCACCATATCATTCTTGGTGCGGAAGTCTCCCGCGACGCGCTGAGGGCTGAGGAAATAGACCACCCCACAGACCGTGGCTGGCTGCAGCAGCGGGGTCACACGGCTAGGATGGAGCATGGAAAGCTGGTCCTCACCTCAGGTCGTTGTCAACTGGCCCAGTCACCAAATGCCTCGTGTGTTTGGGGCCCAGTCCCTTGACTCAAAACCGGACTAATGTCCATATACAGCCAACAATCCATCCAAGTGGCTTGCAATGGGCACCACGCGCAACTCGTAGTTGGGACCCATTTGCCGGTAGATCGCTTCGTCCAAGGCAGCCAGCAGGGTCCAGTTGGGTGTCATGCTGCCCACCCCCGTCTCTGGAGGCACGGCTGCCATGATCACCAACAGAGACATGGCAGGCACTACATCAGCACCACCTTGTAGGGTTTTTGGAGCGAAGGAACCCAGACTTAGCAGAATTTGGAAGGGGAAGGATGGAACTTTTACTGCGGCAACCCATGAGAGATTGTTGCAGTTTTCCCAAAAATAAATGCCAGCACATTTTGGCCACTTCCAACACCTCGCCTGGTCTTAACCGCTCTGGTGCATTCCTCCACCCCTTCGGCGCCGCACAACTTGTCCCCTGGGTGGTCACCCAGCCATCACCCAGAGGCCCCACCAAGGGCCAGCGCTCCGGCCCGCAGACCTGGTCCTGACGCAGCGGCTGCCAGGTGCTATTGATGCCCTCCTTCCTGGGACCACCTTAGGCTGGAGCCATGGTTCAAAGACAAAAGGGTTCTACAAACATGGCAAAGTCACCAACCAAAAAGGGCCGCAGGGCCGTCATTTTGGAAATGCCCAGATTCACGCCAAATCCTCTGTCGAGCGACAGACTTCTATAGTTGCTGACGGCGACTCAGCCTTCGAACCGGATTTGGTTCTTGGACGGAAAGAAACTTCGAACCATTGGAACACGTGGTCCTAAGGCACATGCAGCCGCAAACGTGCACAACCAAATTGTCTACATCTCACATCTCCAAAGTGGTATTGCGCATGTCTCATGAAGCAAGGGAAAGTACTGTCAGCTCTCTGCAGCCTCTTCCAGCTGATTGGTATTGCTACACTAAGAACGGCTCTGTGTTTGTGGTTTCTCGTTGACATACCCTTCACCAAACTCTATGCGTGTATATATATATATATATATATTTATAAATATATATAATATATATATATGTGTGTGTGTATGTATGTATATGTATATGTATATGCGTATATATATATATATATGCAATGAACTGATCTAGCTTCCCATGTTGCGATGTTGCTTCGTCTGGAGGGTGCCAACGAAGGGAACCCTAAAACTGAAATCTCCAATCGGGAGATCTTTTCCTCATACAGCGCAGTAGCTGGGTGGCAGCGGTAAACCAGTGGTAAACTGGAGTTTGCCACATCAAGATCTGATGGGTGGTTTCAACCACGAGAAAGTATATTAGTCATTCTGGATCATGGTCTCAGCGAAAACTCAAGAACACTGAAATCATCGGAATTTCTCAAAATCCCAAAAAGTATGACTTATAGACAAAATGCTGATGACATCATATTAGATCTACAATAAACTACATTGCATGAGAATTACTAGAATTAGAGAAATATTGACAAAATATAATATGACCAATAAATAACGGATTGCCCCAATATTATATAATATGAGAAAGTTCAAATCCCAAAGTAACTCATAGAAAAAAATATTACAATGACATCATCTACAAAAAGATGGGAAAAAAATCCACCCGGAAATTCCCAGCCGAGCTGCATCCGCTCCATCCGTCACCACCAGCACCGCATGGGGCAACGCCTGCCGCGCCCGGCCGCAGCTCAGGCGGAACTGGCTGGGACCGTTGAGGCGCAGCCGGGACGAAGGTGCCACGGAGAGGAGGCCGCTCCAGCTGGGATGGCTGGACCAGGGATGAAAAACCAATGGAAATCCATGTAAAACACAAATAGAGTATAGCTATATATAGCTATATATATGTAGAACTATATAATGACTCCTCTACTCTGCAGGTTGATTTCTAGATCATTACTTGAATCATTACCAATCATTACTTCAGTACATGTTTAAGGAACAGAAGAATGAATGTCACTACAGCGGCCCAAATCCTTTTACTGACGAAAAATTGAGCTTGCAAACAAAAAATGCGCGAATTGTGCTAACCAAGAACCAGCATTTTTTGCTCCCAACATTAATTTCAACTGAATTCGGAAATTTACCCAACCAATCATGGGATGACTTCCAACCCATCAACTGCTGTTTGTGCCATCAGTGCTTCCCACCTGACTTCGCCGCGACCATGAAACACCAGGGGCTCACTGCAGCCATCCCTTGGCCCTTCCCTGCCATTCGCAGGGTACGCCCCAGCGCCATCACCCTCACAGCGCACAGCAGCAGCGTTCGGGGGAGCTCCAGCAGCCTCCAGCAGGCGGCCAGGGATCCAGCCGGCCACTTTGATGATGGCTGGGGAGGCGTCATCACCTTCGCTGCCACCATGGAACCACGGAAATATCATGCAACACAAAAATGTTTGAAATGCCACAAGCAGAACCATATCTGCCATGCCAACTCCCAATTTTTTTGAGGTGGAAAATCTAGCCCTGAAACCTGTGGTGGCCTTCCACACTGCCACCAAGCCGCAGGCCAAGCCACAGGGCGCCTGCAGATCCTTCAAGCTGAACTGCGAGGACGAGGTCAGGGGTGGACGCCAAAAGACCTGCACTGCCTCCTCCATGCAGCTGGCAGATCGTCATGGCGGATTGGACCATGGACGGCCAGGCAACTACTCACACCTGGTGGAAAGTCATGAAAAATCCTGTAAGGTCTGGGGTCAGTCGCCTAGAGTAGTAAACCCACTTATAACACTTCAACAATCTGCCTGGTATTTGTCTGAAGAGCTGGAGTGAAATACTGCCATCCATGTGCAACTTGGACGTGCCCATTTGTTTCCTGCAACTTCCGTAGTTGAAACCTTCGAAGGGCAGAAAGCCAACAGAGGTGCAGCAGTGCCTCTAGCTTCAGCCCATCCATCCATTTCCGGCATCACATTAAGTGATCTTGCTATCTGTATATATATATTATATATATATATATAAACACCGAGACGATTGGAAATTCGGTGCGACAAAATCGAAGCGGCCACTCTACCACTTAAAATTCATCAGCAGAATGGATATGAATATTAATTGGTTTTGACATGACATGCTACACACATAAGTCCATACATGTCCATATGCCACTTTGCCATCTTCCCCTTTCCCCGTCCTTTTGCTAGATACCTTCTCTCCCAAGTAGCACCAAACGGGACTAGATCTCTGAGTCTGCCGGCTGTTCTTCAGAGACCTCGAAACACTGCCAGCTTTGCTGAGGCAGGTTCCATTTCAGGCCACGATATTTATACAGTCTATAATGAGTCTATAGTCTATGGTCTATAAGCCATGTTCAGCCCGAAATATGTCATGATGTTTATTTCTGGGCTGCATCTGCACTTGGGGCGCGGGGTGTCTCCAAACTTCCTTGGATGGCACCATGAAGAAATCCCCATCCCCCCAATATTCATGGCCCAGAAAACGAACAGATCCGATACCGAGCCATGTTTCTAGCATTTTTGAGGGCTGTATTTACACTTAAATGAAGGATTAAAGGTGTTGAATATCAAGGGGATGGGTGTACTGGCCGAGGCACATCGTCTTCCAGCCACTTCCTTCAAGGAAGACCTGGCCCATCACTTGGTGACGTGGCTAGGGCTCCAGAGATAGTCGTTGAAAAGGATTTATTGGGTTTGGGGTTTAAGGCAACATCCACAAACCATTGTTATATATATATATATTTATTTATTTATTTATATAATATATGTACATATATATATATATACATATGTGTGTGTATGTAAATAAATATATATATATATATATATTATGATTATATGGTTTTCCTACCTGCAAATATTGGGCTTTGCTGCTTTTGTTGACCCTTTCCCAAGTCTGGAAAAGATCAGAAGCCCATCTGTGTGCGATCATCTATCCCCAAAAGCAACCCTGATTTAAGATTCGGATGATCATGAATCTCTAGCCATCCCAAGCCTATTTGCTTTAACCTTCAAAGGCCATGAAACTGATGGTTTTCGCTTCTGGGCCGTGGGCCTGGTATCTGGATGGCATGGCAGCTTTGCCACCTGGCCGCGGGCCACGTTGGACATCGCTTGGTAGGTCAAGAGCTATCCATCTTTAGGTCCGTGGTATGTAACGTGGCTAACCCAACAACAAACCATCTATCCCAATTTTACCAGACACTG